TAGCTATAAAAGTAATATATCCACACATAACATGAAGACTACAAGAACCCTGTAATGCAGACCAAGGTGCATGAACACATGGGTAAAAGAGAAGAGATAGAACAGTCAGGTTCAAGCCAAAAGAATGTGTGGTCAGACAAGTCTGCATGTTCATGACAAGGCAACTAACCTACTGTATCTCCCCTTCAGCCATGATTTTGATTGAAGTGCTCTGAAGCTAGGTTACTGGAATTAACTACTGCTCGTTGTTTATATAATGGTTCTCTAAAAAAACACACCGTGTTGGGTTTGCGTGCAGGGGGACGGTTTTGGTATTGGGGGAAGGGGCTACAGTGGTGGTCCCTCTGAGAAGCTTCACAAAGCTCCCCTGGCTCCAAGGTAGACTGTCTCCAGTGCAGGCTGAACCAGTTAGTGTTAGGGAAACGCCTCTTTGAATCCATATTTATGAGGGAAGAACTGGTTTGAAAAGAAAAAGGAGGAGAGAGCCATCAAGAGAGACCATTGACTTGAACAAAAAGATCATCATCGGCCTGAACAAAAAAAAAGACCATCATTGCCATGAGGAAGGAGGAGGTGAGGAGACAGAGAACTTCAGACACCCAGATCAGCAGGTCGAAGAGTAGGAGGAGGTAAATGGGGTCCCCTGTGGCTCATGGAAGTTCAGTGGCAGAGCAGATACCCATGTGTAGGCTGTGGAGGACTCCACGCTGGAGCAGAAAAGCTGTGCCCAAAGGCAGTTGTGACTTTGAGTGCTCATGATGAGCAAGGAGAACCCCCTGCCAGAGATGCTCAGTGCCAGAGCATGGGGGAGAAGAGGCGTGCTGGACCTGTCTGCAGCCCGTGGATGTCCCCATGCTGGAACCAGGAGCTGTGCCCAAAAAGGTCCGTGACTTTGTGGGAAGCTTGCATTGGAACATTTTGTTCTTGGACTCTTTTAGCCTGCAGGAGGGGCCTCATGCCGAAAAGAGGGGCATAGATGAACTGACTGCAACCCCTATTCCCTAACCCCTCTGCCTCTAAGGGGGAGAAGGTAGAGAAATCAGGAGCAAAGTAACTAGAGCCCGGGAAGAAGGGAGGGGTGGGGGGAAAGTGTTTTAAGATGTGGTTGTTATGTCTCACTATCCTACTCTGATCGATTGGTAAGGAATTATACTGATTTTTCTTCCCCAAGTTGAGTCCGTTTTACCCATGACCATAATTGGTGAGTGAGATCTTGCTGTCCTTATTTCAACCCAAGAGCCCTTTTATGGTGTTTCTCTCCTCATATCAGGTGGGGAGGAGTGAGTGAAGGACCTCATGGTCATAGCTATGGGTGAAACCACCACAACACAGAGAGTCAAGATTCTTATCTAAACCTTAATTTTTTAATTCAAAGTGATCCTACTTCAAAAATTAATTTCTGATCCATACATTTAAGTTTCCTTACAGATTTTCTAGCTTTCTCCCTCAACATCCTTAAACCTAAAGCTTTTCAGAAACTGGAATAATACAGGACACCTTACTCCCAAGAAAACTGAGACAGATCACAGCTGCCAGATTCATTCATCTTATAGCACAGGTCTTCAAATATGAGGTTTGCACATCAGCCAGAAGCCTCTCTGTATTTTAAACATACTGTTCAGTTGCAAGCAGGATGTTGACACTGGTATTAATATTCCTCCATACCACCCAGTCACAAAGGTGCTTAGTTCAGGACAGAATGCAGATAGGATAAATAAGGGCAACTGTAGATATCACCACCCCCAACAGAACAATGATGAGAGCTATTTGGAGACTTTTCTTTTCAGTTATACATTAACACAGCTGTGAGGAAGATCTGCAACCTCATCACTCTTGAGTCCCTGAAGCATAAAGCTGTCTCAGCAATTCCAACATTCTTCAATGTCAAATCCAGGATGACAACATGAATGCATTGAACTTCTGCTGCCAGTAACCCTTATCTCTATTTATGGTAGCCTTCTACCAGCCACTAGTAATACTCAGTGAATTAGTCAGGCATCAGACTCACAGAGTACCCTCAGGCACCTTAAGGTTATTAACTTCCCCAGCACCAGCTGTGTTTTTCCAACCTCTTCTAGGCACATTTCTATCAAAAGACCACAGAAGCCCATGAATAGTATCATCTAACCACGACAGTCATGAGCTTTCTCATTTAGTGAATATCTCACCCTTAGACTTCAGGGTGGAGGAACCTGGTTTGTGATCAGACAGTTGTACAGAACCCCCCCACTACAAGGGCTCATGGTAGCAGAATGACTCTGGATACTGCACTGTCTCCCTTCTGCTCTCAGTATTAGCTACTCTTCCCCTCTCTCCTGGCCAGCTGGCCATTAACAAGAACTGCTGTTAGAGAAGAGTCAATAGTGTACGACCACTGGATGCTTCAATCTGCCTTTTGCATGGAAAGTTACAGGAGAAAAAAATGGGAAAATTATAAGCAAATGGGTAAGTAAGTGAATCATGAACGGCCAGACCACAATTTTTTAGAAAATGCTCATGCTTTAAGGGTAACCACCTGCTACTGTAGTCACCTCTTGAATAGCTCCTCAAAGTGTAACAATGCTTTCATCAACACACTTCAAATACAATCCCTGAGGGCATTTTGAGATTAAACTGTTTGATGCAAGTAGCCCCATGTAGTTATTAAATATAAAATATAAAATAAGGTGGTAAAAGAGGCAGTAGGTATAAACAAAAAGTATAGAATTTTATACACAGTTCTGGCTGAAGAGCCTCAAGGTAAATACTGAAGGGCTGCACCCAAAATTAAGTAACCCTTTTTCAAATTTAAGTCTGCAGTATTTGCCCACGCTAAACAGCTGCTAGAGAAGAAGCACAAGTTCCACTTGCCAGGTCTACAGTCCAGCCAACAAGCCAGAACTCCTCTGGAGTGGCAAAATTTCACAACCTTTCACAGCACTGCAGCCCATTTATCAAACTAATTCTGTGCTGCCTGACTACAAAGCTAATGAAATAAAAGTACATGAAGAAGCACGGTGGGCAGAAGAGCAGCAGGCCAAAGGTAAGACATCAAAACTCAAAATTATCCGTGTATATCAATAATCATAATTTTCACTCCCTGAACAATGCTTGCTGTTGGAATGAAATAAAGACTTGACTGCAATTACGACTTTTACCAGAACAGACCAATTTCACACAGTCACAGTCATGTGAGCTGTTCCTCCTCCCTACCACCCCTGAATTTTGCCACCTTTAATTTTGTACTCAGTCCAGCACCTACGCTGTCCCAGGAGGCATCCTCAGCTGACTCACATGCCCTAAGGTCGTTCATAAAAGCCACAGAATCAAACTGTCAGTGATTAAGTGCTCTAACCTATAAAAGGGTAATTATAAGGTCACTACCTGTACACTCACAGCTAAGAGAAAACCTTTGTTTAGCACCTTTCAGTCAAAAATTCAAAAGCACCCTGCATTTCCTGAACTACACTGGTCACAGTTCTTATTCAGATGTTACTGCTGGCCTGACTTGGGAAGAGATAGGAATTCAAGTTTTTGAACTGGGACGTTTCCATCTCGGTCCTTATTTTACCCAGAGGGACCTAATGAACTACCTGAGTGTGCTTTCCTATGCCTTAATTTGAGCCAACAGTAAACAGACTGACACACTGTCCTACTCTTTTACAAGCAAAATGACACAAGCCAAGGCTGACAGCATGATGATATTCTGTATGTCACCCAACAGAAGTCTTTCTTTTAAGTAAAATCTATTTACTATATTCTCAATGACTGATTCTAAATTGCAGCCACTTCTACAGCAAAAGGATTCCTTTGCTAAATTTATGAAAGAAGAAAACCCATTTGATATTCAGTAAGACACAGCATTAGCATTAACGTAGAAAAGCACAAACTCTCCAGTAGAGTTCAGGCCTGCATACTGATTTCTTTCACTAGGTATTATGCCTGCACACATGCATCTGATAAGCAACTAAGACACCTTCTCTTGCTCTTCCCACCTTTTGAAACCAAGAGTATTTTCTATCACCTCAAAAATCTGCTTTTTTGATATAAGTGGCAAAAAGCTGCCCAAAAATAAGAGAAAACAGAGTCAGCAGCCACCCATGAAAGTTTTAGCTGAGAAAGTATGTAATTCCAGTATCTGGACTCTGAAAATCTAGTTTTTAATGACTGTGGTATAATAATGACAGAGCTGAAACGCAAAAAAGTTTAATGCAAATTATGCCTTATGAACACTAGTGACACAAGCTTTGCCTCTTTAACTGGCATACAAAAAAACTACCAGAACTTTCTGTGCACATAAGCAATTGCTGCATTCATTTCTAAACACATGGTCAAGATCAACACTCATGTCTTCATACTTCTTGGGATACACCTCACAAACAGAAGACCACCAAAGGTCTAGTCTGGAAATCACTTTGCTTTCTTAGAGTTTGCAGTGCTGAATTCTATATACTGCAACTGTTCAGCTGTTAATCATAAAAACACACAAAATGAGAGATTAACCTGCAGCTCTGTCCTACCAGCTGGAAGCAATGCATTGCTTGATGAGGATTTAATGCTGTTTCACATGAACATCCAGAGCTACAAGGACAACCTGGAAAGTACAAACCAGTCAGAGTCCAAAAATGCATTCCAAATGTTTTCCTCCTTTTCTGACCTCTATAGCTGTGTGTATGTAATTTCACTCAATAATAAAAGTTGTGCAAACAAAGCAAATCAGAGGGAATATAATCTTATCTCTCCAGTACACTCTAGAAAATCGACTAAATGGCATTTTACTGCTGGTTCTACAGCCTTTAGCTGTAATAGGAAAGGAAAACGCTGAAAACGACAATGCTTATAACTGCTATTTTCTCAGTTTACATAGGACCCAAAAGGCTTTTTACCTCCCCACCCTGCGCCCTCCATCCTCCTAGGTGAGACATCCCCCTGCCGAAGTACCTCCCAGTTCCCCAGGAGGGAGTCAACCTTGTTCCCTAAAGCACAAACTTTCAGCAAAACTTCACCCCCGCTGCAGTG